CAATAATAAAAAACATTCCATCCAACTCCGTTATTGTTTTGAATGATGCATCCTATCACAGTCGATTAAAGGAGTCACTACTTATAACAAGATGGAAAGAAGAAGATATTTCAAAATGGCTTCATTCTAAAAATATTATCAATCCTCCTAAATCCTTGAAGGCAGAATTACTCGTAGTAGCAATGCAACATGAAAACAAATTCAAAAAATATATTATAGACGAGAAAAAGGAATTGAAATTCTCAGGTTGCCGCCTTACCATCCAGAGTTAAATCCCATTAAACTGATCTGGTCACAATTAAAAGAAAATGTTTCTCGACAAAATACATTTAAATTACCTGATGTGTGAAATTTGTGTTTGAAGGTAATTTTGGGTGTAAATTGATCATATTAAAAAGATGGAAAATTCATTTTGGAAAGTGGATATAGCAACAGGAAACTTAATAGGCTCAATAATAATAAAGCTTAGAAAAGACAATAGATAGTTATTGTAAGTTCACTTATGGTTAGCCACTATTAGCGCCGCTCTTATTTTGACATCTGAGCATGCGCAGATCGTTTACGTTCTAGAACTGACTTTATTAAAGAGTGTGCCTGTCCTTAATTGTAGATGTTTAAGGACGCAAATAGTGGCGACTTTATAGCTTTCGGGTGCGCTCGCCGACATTCGTATAAGTTGGAAGTTATTTAATATTAAATATTATTTAATTTCATCTTCATCTAATCTTTGAAAATGGCAATTTCTAATGTCTCTTCCATATTATGTACTATTATAGACAACAAAAAAGATAAACTGTAATTTAAAATTTTTAAAATGAGGTTAGAAATATCGCACATCGGCAACTAGAGTGTCACAACACATTAAATGTAGGTAGTTTTTGGAAAATCGCGTTTTAATATTTTTTATATCTGAAAACTGCATTTAAAATTTACTGTAATGGCATATTGGAAAAGTAAAGATATATTTAAATACACTATTCAATGTAGGTACTATTATATTTTCATGGACATAATGATCTACAAATCATTTTTCTAATTTGTTTTTAATTTTTTAGATCCCATATTGTGACTCTTTTTTAGAAAAATTTTAAGAAATTTACTAATTTACCAAAGCAATAGAAGTGTCAATTTATAGATTGTGACTGTATTATTTGCTATCTTTATAAAAGTTGATCAGAATTACCCGAAAATACTGTCATATCCCATAATGTGTCTCTGTTTTTGCTGAAATTGAAGTAAATACATAAACGTTACTTACCATAGCAGGCTCATTACACATAGTACTACACACACCAGGTAAGCAACCGCTCCGTGTACTAATTTTGATTCGACAACACTATTTTGCGCTATTGGGATCTGAAGATAAGCGATACGCCCTCTACTGTGAACTAAAAGTTATGCCATTTGACACTTGACCGTCTGTGTTCTGTCAAGTTTTGTTTATTGTTTATCAGGGTCATTTCAATATTTTAAAATTAAACAAGTATTTTGTTTGAAATATCTTATTTAATAATAAGTTAATGCTTTAAATTTATATCATATATATTAAAATATTATTTTATTTGAACTATAAGTGGAATATCAGTGAAAAACACACTTGTTGGGTGCCTGGATGCAGCCCTAAAAAAATAGACCTTCTTTTACATTTCATTTGCTTCCTAAAGTTGGTAAATGTAGGGTAATTTTTATAAATTGCAAGTGGAAATTCTGCAAGAAATGCATGGTTACAAAAATTAAAAATTGAGAAGCATTTTAAAGAAGATGATTTGCCTAGAGGTAATATAGATTTATTTTTCGATTGAATGTTTTTATTTTACCTTTTTTTGTGTTGTAGATGCCTCATCCAAAGTGAAAATAAATATAAAAAAAAATCGCTGTGTCTTCCTGCCAGTTTTTAAGTAAATGTTTGACGATTCTGTTCAATAAACTTCAAAATCAAATATTGAGAGAACAAAAAGAAGATCCAAACCACAGAATAAAGATTTTGTGTCCAAACTAAAAAAAGTTCAATGAGTGTTAAATGTGATAGTGAGATTAAACAAAGTCATAGTTGAGAGTGATTTGTTTCAAGATAACCTAGCTACTCACGCCAAACAAGACAGAGGTTGCAAATACTCTTTTTCAAGTATATTGCCATTAGTGTACAAGTGCGCATACCCCAAAAATTAAAACAATTTCAGATCTTTTAAAATTTGACAAAGAGTTGTGTTCATTCACTGGTATTAACAACTTTAACATACTGTACTAGAAAATACAGTCAAATCAGCTGAAGTACTTCGGAAGATGGCCTATTGGGTATTGTAACTCAATAAAGAACGTTTATTATTATGTAAACATTGGCATATTTTGTTAACAGGAAAAATAAAAAAATATTTGATTTTTATATTTATTGCTTATAATAATAGCCTTTTTACCAACAGAATCAACTTGACCCATGCAACGAAGACTCATTTTTGAGAGTTTTTAGTTACCTTTATTCAGCACATATATTTGCCAAAAGCTTTGATCTAAATAAGTATCGTATATCTAAATGAAGAGGTTAAGCAACCAGGAATACTACCATCAAATATAGTAAATCATTTTAGGCCATAAAATACTTTGAATACTATATTATCTTAGATTTTCTCAAAACTGGAAATAATGAGTTACTATAGTCTTCCTTGCATGTGTCGAACTATTCCATTACAGAATAATATAAAAAATGTACAAAAATACATTATCAATGTACAATCACTCATTAGAAAATGTAACTGTACACGATGACTAGTAAACTTGAGAATAAAAATAATTATTAAAAAGAGTATTCTCTCAAGTACAAAATCAATCATAAATTTCAAGCTGTACATTTTCATTTATTGTATTAAAGAAGAGATCACATGAATTACTTATGTTATTAATATCATAATTATTCACACAATATCCAAACATTACAAACATCACTGTGTTAAAAAGGTAAGAATAAGAACACATGCGAAGTGTCATACAATTGTTTGTAAGATAATAAGTAACATGGATTAAATAATATATTATAAAAGTATTAAGACTAAAAACTAATACAAACTACAAATTAAAATTATGACTAAGTAAATTTTACATCAAAACTAACAAACAAACAAAATAGTACCTACTTGTGTTAATAGATGATTTTAAAAGAATAATTATTCTATATGTTTTAAAACATCTTGTTAAATAAAATTATGGAACATTGAAATAATAATTTGATTATCAAATAGTTTATGCAAACATAAAAGTGAAGCCATAAATATTCTGCTTCCGTACCAAGGACACATAGTTTTTGTAATAATCATAAACTGATTTTAGATTTATTTGAAAATATAAAAGAATATCTTGTGCAGTGCCATTATTTATCGATTCTTCACAATAATCATTTGTAATTTATATTTAATCTCAATAACTAAAAACTATGCTGAAAATTAAATTGACAGAATTGTTACTCATTTAAAATTTAAAAAAATAATGGTATCCTGGTGACCAAATATTGGTGGATTTCATATCTGTACAGTGTTCATAGAATGGATAAATATATTCGTTCAATTGCCTACTTTTTCGTTCTTTAATCAGTGCGTAAAATAAATAATATACATGTGGGTGTAGAACAAAATGAAAAGGTATTCGATCGAATTAGCTTGATAGTTCTTTTATTATTTGAAACAGTATACACCTAAAACACTTTATTAAGACTCCTGAAATATGTTTGCACTGTCCACTGTTCCCAGCTTAAAACAAACACTGCCATTCACTAATTTTAAACATCTTGCACTGGCCTACTGGGGACCTGAATTCAATGCACTAGTTTGGAGAACAACTGCAAAAACGTGTTTATCACTAAATTCATTCTTTCCACATAAAAACTATGTGGCCCGCATTTAAAATAGCATCTTCTTTAATAACAGTCCTGGAATTTTCACCTGCATCAATATACTTCATAAGTTCTATTAAACTTAGCCTTATTTCAGACATCTCACTAAAAATAAAATAAATATATTAATATTTTATTAAAAGATAACACAAATATATCTTAAATTAACATAAATGAATGAATGTAATTTAAAAACAAAATTAATAGGGGGTTACTTACCAAATAAAAATATATATTCTACTTTAACCTAAAAACTATTGAAATAAAAGTATCTAATCACTAAAAATTAACAACAACAATATGTTTTCCCTCGTGTTTTCCTTAAAATAGCACAATATAAACTAAATACTTTTTATGAGTTGTTTGTTTACAAACTCAAAAATGTAAACAATAACAAGCCATAACAATTAGTTTAAATGTTAAGTACAGACGGCGCTGCGATCTTAATTTTAGATCCCAATCTCTTGGCAAGGAACTGCATAATAATTATGACATTTTTTAGCAGGTAAAGTTCGAGACTGTCGATGTTTTGGCATACTTATGTCAGTTTCGTATTTTTTGTATTGTGACACTATAATTTCCGATGTGTGATATGTATAAGGACAAACAGTCTAATGTCAAAACTTTAGGTTTGCAATAAGTCCTATTTTAACATGGAATTTATTTGCCTCTAATTAGGTACTATTTTCATTCAAAATTTAATCCACGAAGTTCGTATATACCATTTTATATACCGTAACCACATTTGTATTATAGAAACTTCCGTTACAAAGTACGCCTATGGAAAGTGACGTTATATCCCCACCTTTACTGCAGTCCTCTTTTATTCAGACTATAATAAAAATATAATATTTTTGTTCTTAATATTATCCCCTCTCTTTGTGACACCACTAGCCAAAGCTTGACAACCAAAGAGCGTTCACATTTGTGTTGCATCGACTGATATTATAAAAATTATATGATTTTATTCTATTTAAACTTTTTTTTATTTTCAGACATGTATTTACAATTCTGAATGACGTACTATAAGCATCTTTCGAATAAATTAATATTTTTTGCTCACCCAGTCTATTATAATTGTATCATTTACGTACTACCACGTAGCCAACAAGAATATTTTGTCAATACTTATCATAGCAACGCACAAAATTGATTGATGTTAAAATGGCAAAAAGAGGCGGACAACTTCATATAGATGTTTCTAACGATGAAGAATGGGAAAAACTCTTATTAAGAGATGGACTTATCCGTAAATATATTTTAATCTAAATTTTCTTGTTATTACTATATAATTTCTCTAGTTGTGGACGTCTATTCCGATTGGTGTGGCCCATGCACCGGTATGGCTGCAAACTTAAAAAAGATCAAATTGGAGATAGGTGGGGATATGCTGGTATTGGCACTGGTAAGTTTATTAATTTATTATTAATTCAAACACTTAAGAATTATTACATGAACAAATGATAATATAGTTTAGGAGCACACTGCAAAATCTTGGGTTGATCACTAGTAGGGGTGCCTGTAAACGTAACGACACATGAATTTCTAAATTGTACTAGAAAATAGTATTAAGTGTGTATATAAAATAACAAAAAAAAAATTGCGGGTTACTCATAAATAAGACATTTTTCGATTTTCGTGTAAAGCATAAGCAAGCTTGCCAAACAATTCAATTTATAACAAAATCTAGATTAATAATTGACAGAATCGATCAGGTACTTTTATAAATCGAATACATATTAAAACAATGCTCATATCACGCATGAAAAGGTAATTATGTGGAATATAATATAATAATATATTTTTTTTAATTATCCAATTTTTTTTATACTTACATTTTAGAAATTAGTACTTTTCAAACCCCGCAAAGTATCTTATTTTTGGCGTAACAAACACTTTAACATATTAACTAAATATTAATATTACTTCATCTATAAAGTAATAAAAAAAAATATTTTGGGTTATCCAAAAGTTCTTAAATTTTCAATCAAGAGAATTAATTAGTCTGACAAATGAATTGTCAACCAAAGTCAATGACTATATCAACCAAAGAGGATAGCCGAATTCATTTAATTTCTACTGGGTTCGGCGCGGCGTGACGTTAACCCTGTAAACTTTCAGCCGTCCCATTTAAAACGTACATCAATACACCTTATTTTTATATTACGTTTTATTTTGTTTATTTTTAAACTAAAAGATATTTCAGCTATTCAACAGATCAATTTACCAGAGAGAAAATTTAACTCATCTGAAAATTATAGAAGTAAATAAATATGTAAATAGAAGGTAATAAATTTAAATACTATGGCCATGTTTTCTAAACATCTTTTTAATGAACTCATATTTAAGAAATTTTACATGATAAAGTCGAAATTTATATATAGAGTGAACGTAACTCATTATTATGTACATTCCTGATAAGTTTACAAGAAAAGTTTTAATAAAAGTTTCATGAAATTAATCAAGTTAATAAGTTCGTGCTTAACAAGAAATATACTGGGTTGACCAGTATGCATAAATTACAAAAAAATATATTTTTTAAATACTAAATTAAATTTAAAATAAAACCGTTAAAATAACGTTGTGCTAACTTTATTAGTCATTAGCCATCTGTTCGTTACTTTTAAATAACGGTGCACACTATATATTTCTAACTGACGTACATTAATGACTTGATTTATTTTATAAACAAAATATAAACGTTTCCTGACATACCTACACCATAATAGCACGTTCGTACTACCACGTCCCAACTACCTTAGAAGCTAGCACGCTTGGACGATATTTTGAAATTTGTACGCACCCTTTTTCACTTACCCCATAACAGCCAGCTATGCTCGTTCCAACGGCCATACCCCTAGAGGCAGGAGCGAACGAAGTGAGTGCGCCCTTTTTACATCTACACCATAAGAACCAGCTGTGCGAGTCCTACCAACGGGCTTACCACTAGATGAAAAAGCGTGTGAAGCGAGGGTGCTCTTTTCACACCTTTACCATAATAATCAGCTACGCTTGTCCCAACAACAGCCTTACCACTAGAGAAAGGAAAAAGTGCCCGGCCAACGTTTTGAAATTCGCGCGCCAATTTTGAAACGTCGGTTGTGCGCGCGCGAATTTCGAAACGTCGGCCGGGCGCGTTCTTTTTACATTTACACCGTAAGAGTCAATTACAATTTGACAGATGTAAAGTAAACGTCAGCTGTGCGCAGACTCCCAAACTCCTTATCCTTATCTAAAGCGCGGAATTGAAACTTTACCAAATCTTGCGCGCGCACAAAATCGCGACAGCCTAAGTTTTGCAAACGCTTTTGGCAGCCGGGTATTTTCTTGTTGGAAATTTTGCGACTTTTCCAACGGTATTTAGTTTGAATATAGAAGCGAGAGTGTATAAAAACAACATCGATATAGTACTTTTCGACCATATCAGCCACCCTTAATGCAAGGGATGATAGTCGGCAGACGGGTATAGAAAATTATATTTAATTACTATCTAACGGTTAAGTAAAAAATTTAACAAAACAGCGATATATTCAATTTTTAATAATTTTTTATAAATTAAAACGCTAACGATATTGGGGCAGCTGCCGACGGACTACTATTGCACAGTATATTACCCGACGTTTTCATGAAATTTTAACCATACTGGTGATCGAGACAACATTTTACATTGGGCTTCTAAACTAATACAATTAGGCATTAGGCTACCCGTGGTTAATGGGAACCCTGTGGGCCTGGTGATTTGATATAGGTAGTTATAGAGTGATCAATTTAGCCTTTTCTTTGAAACTCATTTTATTTGGGAATGCTTGATCATTTATATATAGGATGTCTCAACGCAAGATCTCTTTTACCACATTTGCAAAATATAAGAACAATTTTTAATGAACATCGTTTTGATATTTTATTTATATGTGAAACTTGGCTCAATGAAAATATATCAAACGATGTAATTTCTTTTGAAGGCTACGATATATATCGACTAGACCGCGGAGCATTGGGAGGAGGCTTGTGCATTTATGTTAACAATACATTATACTGTGAGCAGTTGAATCATCAAAGAACTATATCTGAACAACTGTGGTTAAAGATAAAAGTAGGAAATAAGAGTATCGCTCTTGGTGCAATATACAAGCCTCCCCGAATGAATAAGAACTCATTTATTGATGAATTTGAGGATACTTTGGGTTTAATATATCCTACTGTTGATGAGATTCTGTGTGGTGGTGATCTCAATATAGATTTTTTAAACGTTGATGATGTTACGGTTGATAAAATGATAAATGTTTTAGAATGTTTTGGTATTAGTCAAATAATGGATGCTCCTACGAGAATTACGAACACTTCAGCGACCTTGTTAAATGGCATAGTTACATCTCCTGAATGGGTAGTTGAAAAGGGTATTATTCATGTAACTGGAATCATAAGCGATCACGACATAGCCTCTTGTAAGGTAAAGGTGTGTGTTCAAAAACAGGAGCCTCGAAATATTACATATCGATCATTTAAAACCTTTAACGATGCTGATTTTCAGAGGGATTTACATAACACACCGTTTTTTAGAATCTTTGATCAAGAAACCGCTGATGAAAAAATATCTCTTTTTGTTAACTTATTAATAAATATAATAGATAGACATGTACCTTTAGTAACTTCGCGAGTAACCAAACCTAGAGCACCGTGGTTAACAGGGGCTATTAGGGAAATGATGACAATAAGAGATAAAGCTTTCAAAAGATATACACGAACAAAATCGGAAGTTCACTTTCAGTTTTATAAGGACATAAGAAACTATACTAATTCTGCGATTAAACGTGAAAAGAAAGCTTTTTTTACGTATGAGTTAAACAAAAATAATTCGAAAACATTATGGAATACTTTGAAGACCTATAATGTTATACAAAATAAATCAAATTTAATTCCTAATAATTTGAAAAATCCTGAGGAAATAAATGATTTTTTCATTAATTCTTGTCCAGTTAGGGAACCTCCTGAACATCTGATATTATCTTATAGAAATAAAAAGCTAGTAGACTCTAAATTCAAATTTCATGAAGTTAATGACATATTTGTTTACGAAACGATTAATAGCATAAAAACGAATGCTGTGGGGGAAGACCAGTTAAGCTTACGCCTTTTAAAAATTTGTTGCCCTCATGTAATTCCTTACATAACGCATATTATTAATTATTGTTTAAATAATAATGTTTTTCCTGATGTATGGAAAAGAGCTATTGTAAAGATATTACCTAAGAAACCAAATCCTCTTGGATACAAAGATCTACGGCCAGTTAGTATATTACCAACCTTGTCAAAAATATTAGAGAGAGCTGTAGAAGTACAGCTAAAACAACATATAGAATCACACTCATTGTTGCCAGGCACCCAATCAGGATTTCGTAAAAACCATAGTTGTACAACGGCTCTTCTCCATATTGTTGATGATATTGTAAGAGCTACGGATAAAGGAAAATCTAGTATATTAGTTTTGCTGGATTTTAGTAGAGCATTTGATACTCTTAATTATAGTTTAATGTCTGCAATTTTGCAATATGTAGGTCTTTCTGAAAATGCTGTAAGTTTTCTAAATTCCTACCTTACTAATCGTCAACAATTAGTTAAAATCGATAAACAATTTTCTCATTTTAAAAAATTAAAGTGTGGAGTACCCCAGGGTTCCATTCTTGGACCGTTGCTGTTTGCGTTATATACATCCAATCTTGTAAAAAGCCTTCAACATTGTAACATTCACCTTTATGCCGATGACACTCAGTTATACTATAGCTTTAATTCCGAAATGATAGCAGAAGCATGTAATGTTATAAACAACGATCTAAACTGTTTTGTTAAAGCTGCATCTGATCACTGCCTGAATATCAATAGTGATAAGTCCAATGTTATTGTTTTTGGAAATAAGGCGAAAAGAAACGAGATTAGTCCAAATATTAATATTCTAATTGAAAATATGCCGCTACAGATTGTTGATGAAGCTAAAAGTTTGGGAGTGACATTAGATTGTGACTTGAAGTTTGAAGCACATGTCAATCAACTAGTAAAACGTGCATATTTTACTCTTAAAGTATTATACGGAAGTAGACATTTTTTACCGTCACACATCAAATCGACACTGTGTGATACACTGATCTTATCTATTTTTAATTATGCAGATGTACTCTATGGCCCATTTTTAAGCAGCTTATATAAAAAAAAGATTCAAAAAGTCCAAAACTCTTGTTTACGTTTTATATACAATATTCGGAGAAGAGAGCACATCAGTCATAAATTGAAAGAGAATGGCTGGTTAAATATGGCGGACCGGAGGATTATGCATGCATCAATTGTTTTTCATAAAATTATTGTTAATAAGACACCTTCATACTTGCACAAAAAAGTAACATATCGGACTCA